ATTTGTAAATAAGAAAATGTTCCAGAAGAAAGGCGTGATAAAGCTTCAGGAGAGATGAACGAAGATTATTGAACAGAATGGGATATATATTTTATATTACAATGAAACTTGGCCGTTTTGTAAATTTGGTAAGATAACATTTTTTTTAAATAACGAAAGAAACTTATGAGACAATCTAATATGAGCTTCGTTCTAACTGGACGCGTTGAATATACAAGCAAAAGGGAAAGACAATGTTCTATTACGAATTTCCGAATGTCTACAGATATGGCACAATATATTGTAGAACATAAACATAATCGCAAGTTTCAATAATAAACGGGCCTTATTTTTAGTGAGCTATTTGCAGTCTTACAAAATACGTGTTTTCTAAAAGAATACATTAACCCTTTTGAGTGTATATACCTTTATTTAATGCATTTTTAACAATGACAAGTTTCCATGAAATTTTACTAAGAATTCCTGTTTGGTGGACGTATTTTGCATAAATGTATAATGACACCGACGTCTTATCTTGTAAAAAATGTTAAGTGACTGCAGATAAGGAAAGTAGTGTTTTAAGAAAACATTTTGCATCAATAATGATGGACATAATAATCTGTTTACGAGCTACAAACTCGCATTTTAATCATACGATATACATTTAATAAAGTTTTATAAAACTTTACATTTCAGAAAGCACTTTTTACTATATTTATCCACAATGTACAATTTCTCTTTAAAATCCATTTGTATAAATTATATGTACTGAAAAATATATAAAAATATAATATGTATATGTGTATACATGCATTATGATATTTATTATTTTTCTATATATCTTTTAACTTGTAAAGATAAGATTTACATTAAATACATTGTGTAAATATTCAAGATTGTTAAAGTTAAATTATGGCTGAAAGAAAAAACGATGGAATTAGTGAATACGATGGAACGATATGATTGCTTTCGTATTGCCTACTAAAAATCCCCTTCTTCTTCCTTACAAGATATTTTATTATTGAGAATATCATAAAATAAAAGAGATTTAGGAGATTTCTAAAAGTTTTATTTATAATCGCCTTTCAAATGCAATAGAACACTGAAGTATCGTTGTGTTTTATCCCTTTTGGAAAAGGTATTATAAAAATAATAAGATTACGTCATTTACATAAAAATCTTCAAAAAGTGCAAGTAACAGTAAGAGACGAAGTAAAAAGTAAATGATATGAAAATAACATACTAAAAATGCAACTAAAATGTATGTTTGTGCGCGCGCGTGTGTATGTGAAAAAGAATGGATTAAATGAAGACTCCTCATATATTCAATGTTATTGAGAATAAAATCTGAACAAGTTCGAAAGTCGTCAATCCGCATTTTTCTGTGCATGTTACCAAAATCAGGTAAATCAAGTTGTTATTTTCGCTAAAATGACAGAATATGCGGGGGGGGGGGGGACCAGTGGAAGGAAATTGCTGAACTAAAATGGCAATTTTTATATTGTTGGATGACTTATGAATGCTATTCACGTTTCGGGAGGGTTTCGGCGTACGCGATGAGAATCGCGTATTAAGCCTACGTATCCCTCGGCGGTTCCCCTGACAAATGGCGAAAATCGTGATACTACTTGTACCTGCTTAAAAAATAAAGGAAAAAGTCAACAACGAAATTTTTCGACAGGTAACATTTTGTGACAAGCAAGATTTCTTTGTGGACAGAGAGTCCCAAGCTTTTTTAAATTAGGTAAAGTATGGTATATCTTTCTCATAACTATTCATACACACACACACACACACACACACACACACATATATATAATTTTATCAAAAATACTGAAAACTTGACGTTATTTGAAGATAAAACATTATAAAAACAATTATGATTACATAAGTTATTCAAAAAATTTTAAATGAGTATCTTTCACTCAAGAGAAATGACATTCGAAAGAGCTCGTAGGCTCAAAGCATTGAAATGATCATAATTATCGTGGATGAAACTAATGAGCAATTTACCGTGCTCTATTTGGCTATTTGGAACCGAGTACAAGCATGCAGAATGTTAGTAGATGGCAAGAAAATTCGGTAGGACTTAATATCTCAATGTTTTAATTAATTAAATTATTAATGTATCGTAAATTAAATTACGATGTAGGCAATATATGAAAAAAAGGTTATGATAGGTGATAAAAATATTTAATATAAATCTTCTTATAATTTAAGAATTTTTTGGGCTTATTAACTTATTCAGGCAATTTACCTGTGCAAACTATTCCAGCGTATACTATACTTGTTGAATAAGCATTCTGTAAACTATTACTAATACATTTAGGCGTTTTACTAATACAACCTGCCGACAAAGTATTCATATAATACAAGTTTATTAATTTTATAAAGTTTCGACAAAGTATTACGGTCGATTATACGAAATGACATCGGTACCGATACAAACGCTCGAAAATGCGAGAAATTCTCATTATACTGAGAACAGTAAGATACGAGGCCGAGACTCATCATTGAGCTTTCGAATTCTGTGAGGTCTGCCCTTGGCCAGCCTTAGCGTCGAGAATTCTACTTATATTCAATAGACGCCTGCATGCGATTTACATGCCCGGCATTGTTACGTGATGCGATTCTCTGCCGCATAAACGAGATGTGCGTTCCGATCTTTCTCACAAGTATTCATATATATTAGATATATAAATAATTTTATCAAAGGCACTGAAGAATAGAAATCGTTTTCGCTGCTTGTATCAATAGTGGAATAGCATCAAATGACTGTAACGTTTCTACAAGCAGCAGGTGCAACAATATTCACCAACGGTTTTTCTAATTTCTTGATAAGATGATTGTAGTACACGCCATTGCTGTTACATCCATCTATACGTCATATGATGAGAGAGAGAGAGAGAGAGAGATTTAATAACAATTTAATTAATTAATTAATTTATATCACAATATAATCTTTTATCCTGTAACATTTCGTCTTTAAATCTTGCCAATCTTACGCTTCTCTATCTCTCGTTGTACGAAAAATACAATTGACAGTTGAAGAAAGATGCATGAATATGATATCGATAGATGTATACACAAGAAGAGAATATAAATTAATATTGAAGTAAAATTTGATTCTCTTAATTACACTTTTGCGTGCCACCTGTTGATTTTCATTAATATATTACATTCGTTTGTCGCGGTGCACTGCGTATATCTAAATTTCCATTTAATAACAACGTTTACGGCAATACGTTATTCATGTATGTATATGCGTTTACTTTTTTTACGTTCACAATTAAGCCATCGTATAATTGTCTAAATCAATTTATATTACTGCGATCACATGTGCACACGTATATAAACGAAATTCGTCCAATTAAATTTGCAACCGGAAAGTTTTAAGTATTCATTGCTCGTATCATGGATGTTTATATTAAAGCAAGGCGATTAGATGACGCGGAGCAATTTTGTCCATTGCCGAAAAATTTCTCCGCAGTAATCGTGCAATTGCGAAAAATATCACCGCTGAGAGTTAGATGAAAATTGAAATCGAACCATTATTGGCGCGTTAATGAAACATTGCTACTCGGTTTAACTCCAAATAACTCCATTCCTCATAAATTGGGTATTACGTGCGATTAATGGTGTGTAATAATTTTTTTTCTCCATTAACTCGGTCTACTTCTTTCATCGCGTTCTTGATTTCGACAATATTAGCATAATGTCGGTGCGGTATTAGTTTGTTTCAAGAATAAAAATTGCATCTTTGAGTGGTTGAGTGGCAGCGTTTCTCTCGGTCTTCTTCACGGCCGACCGACGCTACTGCTGGAATAATTGACCTAAATATACCGCAAAAATAGCGGATCATAAATTACATGGGCTCAACGAGAGTGCACTTGACACAGCACTGTCGCCACATGACTACTATGTCGGGGAAAGAGACAGAAAGATGCAAAGAGGGAAAAGAAAGAAGAACAGTAACCGAGAAAGATGTAGGGGAGGGAAAAAGAAACAGGGGAAGAGGAGAGAGAGAGAGAGAGGAGAGAGAGGACGTTCTATTGAAGGTTGCCAGCTCTCTTCCGACGTGTCCTCATTTTAAGTAGAAACGAATGGAAAACTGCCGTACCAGTTGATATGCGAATCTGGAAGGAATACAGCAATCGAAGAGTCTATATGCCGAAGGCTCGCATGTGAATCGTCTATTACATCTAATGTTTATTTATGTTGTATACGATATCTATGATTTACATCACAATTGTGCGCAAACTGAGCAGACCATCTAGAGAATAAATAAAAAGGATTGCGAAAACCTATCGAGATGTAGGATTTAAATTTTTAATCGATAAATTTATAAGTGTATACCTATTTGTGCACGCGCGCGCGCGCGCGCGTGTGCGCGTGTAATTGAATAGCATTTAATATTCTCATATATATAATTCTTTCTCGTTGTTTTGAGAGATCATTTTAAATAATAAATCGTCAATCTGAAGTACAGCTTAAGTTATGCGCTTGGTTGCCGTTTCTTTTCTCGTAAAGTCCTTTAATTTGTGTTGCACCTAATTGCCACTGAAGAATTTATTGCAAATTACGTCATTACATTTCTTGAACGAGAAATTATTAAAATGCAAACTTGGTAAACTCTTTCTTACGCATTATTTCCGATAATTTTCTATTTATTTTCTATTTTCTCACATGCAATACCAGTTATTGAATCTTCTCCTGCGTGAAAAATTACTTAGTTCCTTTTATGTTATTTTATGTTACATAAATAATTATATACAAGTAAATTTATAGAAACGAATCCAGATTACTCCTCGATTTTGCAGTGCTGAATTTATCAAACATATTCGTAATATCATAATCTTCAGTTAGAAAATAATTACCGTATCTATAACAGAGAGAAATATTTAATAATTTAATAAATATGTTTCAAGTAGATACACATTAGTTTGACTGCGATAGCAGATTTCAAGCGTGAAAGAATGTCTGGATTTTCTCAAGAGGGTTTTTCTGTGTTTCATTTACAGATTCTGAAGAATGTATATGTATGACAGCATCGTCAAAGTTCTGTTGCAAGCTTCATGTTCCTTTCAAATAAGCCTCTTTACCTACACTTGGTGAGACTCGTCGATTACGCCGGCCGCAGGATCTCACGAACAGAAGGATGGAGAAGCGATCGTTGCCCCGTCCAGACTGAAGATGAACGCCAATTGTCAGCTGCGTCAGCTAGTCGGGACTTCCGTTACCTAAAGTCACTTTCCTGAAACTCTACCACCGACAGGAGAGACGGTCGACGTGCGGTGACGACGACACCGTCGTCAACTCGCCATTAGGCGAGCATGACCGCGGAAACGACGTTTGATCCGGCCGAGATTTCCTCGTTCGACGTGACACCGCTGCTGGACGTCACTTCGACCGAGGAGAATCCTTATGCCAATAACACCGAGGTGAACGTAACCGAGGTGGTCAACTGGTCAGACCTGCCCTCGGCGATCGTCAAGATCTGCATCCTCGGCTCGATCATCACCACGGCGCTGTTCGGCAATCTGCTGGTGATGGTGTCCGTGATGCGGCACAGAAAACTACGAATCATCACCAACTATTTCGTAGTCTCGCTCGCGCTGGCGGATATGCTGGTGGCCATGTTCGCGATGACCTTCAACGCCAGCGTCCAGGTGACCGGCAGGTGGCTTTTCGGCTACTTCATGTGCGACGTTTGGAATTCCTTAGACGTCTACTTTAGCACCAGCTCGATACTCCATCTGATGTGCATCTCGGTGGATAGATATTACGCGATCGTCAAGCCGCTTAGGTATCCCATCAACATGACGAAGCGAGTGGTGGCGTTTATGCTACTGGCCTGCTGGGTGTCGCCGGCCATCATTTCCTTCGTGCCGATCTTCTGCGGCTGGTACACCACGGAGGAGAACAGCATGCACAGGAACGAGCACCCGGAACTCTGTGAGTTTAAGGTCAACAGGATATACGCTATACTGTCATCGAGCATATCTTTCTGGATACCGTGCACCATCATGGCGGTCACGTACTTTGCTATATTCAAAGAGGCTAACAAGCAGGAGAAGCAGATGCACAACCGAATGGGCAACGCCATGTTGCTCAGCCACAGACCGAGTAAGGATCTCAATAATTTAAATGGGGAACTCAACAGTGCCGGATCGTCAAAGACTTTAACCTTAAATGAGATCAACACCGAGCATTTACACACACCCACGAAAGATAAACATATGATGAAGATGAAGAGAGAACACAAAGCTGCAAGAACGCTGAGTATTATTATGGGTACCTTCATCCTTTGCTGGTTACCATTTTTTCTTTGGTATGTGTTTCTGTCCAAGTCTCTTAGTAAAATATTGCGTATTAATGTGCTCGAAATTTATTCATTTTCATGTATTTTCGATCACAGCGGTCGTAATTGCTCTCCGTAATTTTTCACAGATGGCAATAGATTCGTCAATATTTCATTTCGCGCACGGTGACGATATTTCATCAGATTAAAGCATCAAAGATGTGACATAACAATTTTGCCCATTCCGTTTTTAAGAAAAACAAAAAGTCAGGAAGTTGGAAATTTTTTCAGTTACTTTTGAGAGAGTCCGGATACTTTGCAACTACATATACATTATTCAATGTGTCTGTGTATTGACTTATCAACTGATCTCTTTCGCATGGTTTTATCGCGATTTTATGCAATATATTTTCCGTTTAAATGCTTATTCAGAAAAAGCGTTATGTAAAATCTAGATACGACTTTGCGAAAAAGATAATTCGTTATGTATTGGCTATCAAGGTATGAATAAGCAGAGTCCATTTTTTCATATATGACAAAAAAAATGTTGTTGCCACAGTTGCTTGTAAAAGTTAAGAATAATAATGTTTTTCCTTTAAATTGGATATTTTAATTTCATGCATACACGTGTATTCTGATAAGAGGCACGTGAAGATAATTGAGTAAGAAAATGAAAGAGACAAAGAGAGCGAGAGAGAGCGAGAGAGAGAGAGAGAGAGAGAGAGAGAGAGAGAGAGAGAGAGAGAGAGAGAGAGAGAGAGAGAGAGAGAGAGAGAGAATTGTGGCTGAATTACATTTATCAATTTGTAACCAATATTATTTGCCATTTGTAGCTCTGATTTTTTTGCACAAAATTGTAAAAGATATTTATCTAACGTTTCTAATTTGATTTCTATGTGTTCTTTCCGATTGAACCATCTAATTGAACAATAACGGTTTACCCAACATAAAATTTGATAAAACACAAGTGTTTATCAATTCTATTTCTTCACGGAAATTATATAATTTGCATTAGAGATATAAAGTATAAACATTAAGTTTGAATAAATTGGCACTCACATTTCTCACTGCTTTCGAGAAATTTGACGATAATTAATCTTCCGCCCTTGTATTTTCCACGTGTGTATTGTAGAGACAAATAATTATTAATTCAATTGTTAGGTACGTGATTACAGCGCTTTGCGGCGAGACTTGTCCGTGTCCCGACATCGTAATTGCGATTCTATTTTGGATTGGGTACACGAATTCAGCGTTAAATCCATTGATCTATGCGTATTTTAATCGCGACTTTCGAGAAGCGTTTAAAAATACCCTGCAGTGCGCTTTCTGTTCGCTCTGTAGACGAGAGCCGTCGGATCTCGAAGCGCTGGATTTTCGTCGGCCATCCCTCAGGTACGATCTGGTCTGACAGATTAAGGTATGCATTTCATTTTATCGCATTTTTCTTTCGCAATTTTGTTACTCGCCATATATTGCTATGCACGTCGCTCCGTAAAGTAAAGTTGTCCTTGATACGTTCAAAGGAGGATGCTAAAGTCATCTGTTTTACCGACACATTCGAATATAGTTTTTGCGCTGCTGAATCTTTTTATTAGTTTTTACGCCTAAAATAATACCAGGATAAGTTGCGGACCGCATAGCAGAACGTTTTTATACTTGAAACACTCGGGTCAGAAGTCTAATGAGAAAGATATTGGTATTTGAAATTTTCAATTTTTTAATCGTGAGCAATTTGAATTTGGCTTTATAAAATTACAAAATTT